CATAGTTTTAGCATTGGATGCCTAAACAAACAAAAAATTATTAAATCTAATTAATACTACACTGCCTACACACATGCATAACGGGATTAGAGCATTCTCTTTCCATAAAAGGAATGCTCGTTTGTTATTACAATTTTGTTTGTTATTACAATTATACCTTGTGAAGACAACAGAAAATAGCACCTGCACACGGAATAGTCAGACCGCATGTTAGAAAAAGGCAAACAATTGCCATTATGAATGCTGCCATATGCAGCCTTTCTGTATTGACTGCAAATCCTCCTCTTATCTAGAACAAAGCCATAATCTGATTATTATTGTAACACTATCAAATTTCACAAAAGATAATACAAGCTGAAAGTATTTGTGGGAAAGATCTATCATAACAGCAAAGTAGATACGGCTCACCTCCTGTTCAGGGACTGGGACTGAGTGATACTGATTCTCAGCAACAGGTACCGGAACACGATTATTATTAAGAAGAGGATTTAGAGGACTAACTGGTCGATAAATATCTCTAGTATCAAATCCTCCATATCCTCCATATGTATATATTGGATTAGGATCAGCTGCAAATGAAGTTGCATGACTTTGTGATGGTTGGTACTAAAAAATTAGAGTAGTTTACTGATTATTCATCAGTTGTACCCCATTATGTTATAACTAACCTGCATTTTACTTCAGTGGCACTGAATTAACTGACCATCTACAGTAGTAACAGTGCTATAGATCTACGGGTAAAAGTTATTATCCCGCATTAAAAGACAATAGCAATTAATATTAATACCGTTTAATAGCCACACCTACTTTTCACGTGCTTGTATAAAATGGCTACTACAACAACAGGACAGTGTGAAGATAAAGAAGAAAGGGAAGAGGCAGCGGAGTCTGACGAGGAGGCAGAGGAAGATGAGGACCTACCAGAAACTAGTGGAGTAAGTTTTTATATTTTTTATTTTTGAAATTATTTATAAAATTATTGAAATGTTTTTTTATTTATTGCCATGTGAAGGATGAAGAGGATGATGGCGAGGCTGAAAATCAGTTGATACAAGCCATTGCACTACTGGGAAAGAGACAGTAAGTATATATTTATTTTATTAAAAGTTAATATTTTTGGGTCTAATTTTGTAGGTATACTAGACAATGGAATGAACCATCAAGCATCATATCAGAATTTAACATATCAACTGATCAACAAAGTGAGTTTAATTATCAGCTATGATATATAGCAGTAATTACTGACATAATAACATTACAAATGCAATGTAGAGTAGAATTTGCATCACAATAGCAGGATTTCATTTTGAATTTTTCTTGGTATAGATAGTCAGTCGTTCAGATTCCTACTTGCCCTTGTTTTTACTTGTTAGGAACTTGCTCTAGAATCCTACTCAATCTTGTTTTTTTTTAAATTTAATATATAGCATTATGAAATCAGAGTTGAAAGTGTATTTTTTGTTTTATCCACGGATTCATATGTTTATAGAAAGTATTGACACAAGTGAGCTATTGCAAGGACTCACTAACAAGAAAGGACTGAAACAACTGAAGCAGAGACTGGTAAATTTTTAAAATCATCGATCATGTGAAATAGTAACTTCTTTCCATTTATTTATTATCAATTAGAATAAATTAAGTGATAACACAACTCAGCTACTCAAACCATTAGCCCCAATACAAAAAGACAGAGTAAGTCTAAGATTGTAAGAATGTTATTTTGTAGTTTGTACTTTAGATCCATCGTAAATTAGCTTACGAGAAATCGTCAAAACAAATCTCGGACTGGGATCCAATTGTCAAGCACAATAAGAGAGTACTAATGAGTCATTAATCTTTATCTTTGATGTATTTATGTTTGCCTGTAGGCTGATCACTTGCAGTTTCCATTGCAAGAGGATGTACCTGCCATTCCATCACTAAACACTAAAGTCGAATCTTTTAAAGTAAGTTAGAGTCTTTTATTTTGTATACTACCGTATAGCTAGAAAATTTGGTGGAGTCAAATTTAGGCGAATTAATGTCCATTTGCCAAATTTTTAGTCTCCAATTTGATAGGGTTCCATATAAGTATGCACAGAATTAAAATTTCGCCAAAATTTTAACCTCCAAACCTCTTTTAAAGTCAATTTGCCAAATTTTTAACACTCCAAATTTTCTAACTATACAGTATATAAGAGAAATGTGCATCAATTGACATTGCTGTTTACTTTTTTGTTATTATTGTAGGCAGTGACTCCATTAGAGCAAAAGGTACAGTTTCAAAGACACTGTCAGCAGGTCTTTGGGATTGCCATGTTGTCCTAATATACTCTCCATTTGAGCCAGCACCCTCATTGAATACAGAGCAGTACAGTGACACATTGTTTCCTTCTTCTGCTATCACGTATATTGGCTGAGACTTGCTTGATGGATCAGTAACAAAAGAATAGGGCTGACAGTGAGCTAGGTATGGAAACAAAAGGACAATCAGAGTAAGAGCTGCTGCCATAATGATCTTTTCTTCCTCTGAAGGACTGTAGATTCAGCAGATTACTGTATATACTCTAATTGC